ACCAGAATTTTCATTTTAAAGTGTACGAGAAAAAGTTTAGTAATTTCGAATTTTCAAAATCCCCGACACATCCTTGCACACAAATACACATCATAATTGACACTGAAATCCTCTCGAAGATTATAATCACATTACCCTCAAGTACCCATTGATTCGCAAAATTAAAATTAAACGTGAAATTTATTTCTTTCGAAATTGCAATAAAAAAAATCATAAATTAGAATTGCGTTCGTTTGAACAGTACGTACATATGTGTGTGTGTGTGTGTGTGTGTGTATAAAGCAGAGAAGAATCGTGAATGTCGGCGTTGACAGAGCACTTGTTACTTTTTCGGTGCTCGTGGCATGCACGACTACTCTCTGTGCTCTCGAACGATCTTGTTCAGTATCGTCAAGTACCATTTAAGGGGCGATAAAACGTATCTGGAAAAATTATGTCCGGCTACCTCTGCCCTGTTCTTCGTGTCTTCGCACTTCTACCGAAGGGCTGGTAGTGTGTCGGAAGACTTGAAAGAGACACGCACCCTTCTCGCTCCAACTGCTCGCCTAAACCCCATTATACACGAAATTAATTGTTCCAACGTTCTACACAGGGTGTCCCAATTTTTTCGAACCGAACTTTGTCGAAAGATAAAAAAAAAAATTTGTATAAACGTAGGTGTTGTTTGAAGATTTATTAAAAAGTTGCAGAAAGAAATACTGACTTTTGTGATTACTATGGCGCAGAGTAAGAGATGAATCAGTAGATTAGCTCCTTAACCCTTTCGCTGCAATTGGCGAAAATTTGTTCCAAAACTTCTCCTCTTCCAAAATTCTTCCACGTTAATTCGATAAAACAAATTTTCAAATTTGGCTAAAAAGGAGAATTTTACGGCCGTTGTGGGACATCTGAATCTGCCACGCGCGTTGCGTGTTCAAATTTGCCGCAGCGAAAGGGTTAACGCTCGTACTCGTGAGCAATTTTGGAAAAGTGTAATTTTTTTAAATTACTTTCTTTCAGTTTCCATACTGCGCTATATTTTTTCCATTCTACGGCGAATCAGGCAAGTATTTCCTACATTATCCGCCAGACATGAAAGAAAAAACACTGAGAGCCACGCTCGATCGCATTCCGTAAAACAAATGTAAAACAAAAGAATACCCACGCGTTCCGCATTTGCCGGATAACGTAGGAAATACTTGCCTGGTCCGTCTCTCCCGGAATTACCCTAAATGGG